CTTCTGGCCCTTCCCCTCAATTTTGCTATGAACTTAAAATTTCTATAGAAAACACTCACACGTAAGTTCACATAAAAACCTGCACGTGAATGTTCATATCAGAATTATTCATAATAGCCAAACACTGGAACCAGGCAATACATCATTCAAAGGTTAAAGGTTAACAAACTTTGATACATGTACACAGTGGAATACTAGCCATTTAAATAAATTGTTGATACACATCAACAACTTGGTCTGTCAGGCCCCAAAGCCAACACTATCTGATCTACCATCACTGTGCTTTATAACAGATCTTACAGTAATTAGAAACTTAATAAAAGCCAGATCATGCTTTTCATTAAGTAGCAAGAGGTTTAGGAATCCTATTTCTTGCACAAAGACTCTGCCTTAGAAATAAGATTAACAACAGAAAAGAAATATTTTTTATCTTTACAATACTCTTGTTATATTAGTGAGTTTTCTCGTTCCTAGGAAATATACACATTGAAATATGTAGGAGTCTGCAACTTACTGTCAAATGGTTTGATAATATGGACAGAAGCAAAGGAAATAAGCAAATGTTAATAACTGATGAATTTGGTTGAAGGGTATATGGAAGTTCTTTGCACTATTATTGCAACTTTTCTGTAAATGTGAAAAGATTTTGGAAAAAAAAAAGAGAAAAATCCACAAATGTAATAATTCCAGATCTTTGGGGGCGGGGGGGCGATCTCAGTTGCAATTTGTACATGGTTAATTTTTCATTACTCAGATTAGGACAAGGAAACAGCTTCTTAAATAACCAGCATGTACCTGGCTTAAATAAAGCACTGCAGACCACGTTACTTGTTTAATCATTAATCCTATGGTACTCTAGAAGAAAATAATGAACCATGTCATCTGTTAGTTAACATTACTGTTTTGGTTCATTTAAATATGCTGTTTTTCTAATGTACAGTACAAATCTTTTAAAAAAAACAAAGCAAACAACAACAAAAAGGTGATATAAAGGGCTATCCATATCCCAGCTAGTGGGAACGGAGGTTTGGAGGGGTTACGAATTATAATCACAACACACCTGGTAGTAGCTGGCTTTGGCCTCCATCATCATCTGCTGGGTGGCGATCATCTTCTTCCTGCGCTTGCACTCTTCCTTGAGGAACTTGATCTCGCCGGCCTGCTTGCTGAGGAGCTCCTTGCTCTGCTCGCAGTTGGCCAGGCTCAGGTGCAGCCGCTCCTCCACGGCGTGCAGCTGCGAGGTGAGGAACTCCTGCGAGTGCATCAGGTACTCGATGGACAGCTGCGCCAGGCGGATGAGCTTCAGCAGCACGGGGTCCACCCCCGACTGGCAGTGCGGGCACTTCTCGTCCTCCAGCTTGCAGAAGGTGATGTTCATGATGTTCTCCTGCAGCGTGAGCACGTCCACGGCCCCCGCCACCTTGTCCACGGATGGCGCTC